CAAGTAGGAGGCCTGGTGGAAAACCGGAGCGTTGTCGTTGACGTCTGAGATATGGAGAGTGATGGTTACCTTAGAGGCGAGCCGGGGCCTACCCCTGTCGGTAGCTTCAATGGTGACGTTGTGTTCTGGAATCTCCTCTCGGTCTAGAGCTTTGTTCGTCACCAGTTTGTAATAATTCTTGGAAGACGATTTCAATATAAACGCTTCATTTCCCAAGACGTGGCAGTGAACGTCTCCATTTTCTCCCGAGTCTCTGTCCCTGGTTTTTATCAAGGCGATGACTGTCCCTGGAGGAGAATCTTCAGGTAGGGGGGTAAATACTGAAGTCACAATTACTTCTGGGGCACAATCATTCTCATCCAGAATGTCCACTTGGATACTGCAGTGGGATGCTAGGTCTCCGGGATCTTTTGCTTCTACATTGAGGGTGTAACTCTTAGCAGTCTCAAAATCCAAATTATCCTTTGTCGTGATTTCTCCCGTTCGCTTGTCTAAGTGGAAAGAACGCTCCGCTTGTTCATCCACGTTGTGGAAAGAGTAGGTGATCTCTGCGTTGACGCCCTCGTCCTGGTCGGTGGCTGTCACTTGAAGCACTGGGAAGCCTGGCGGCACACCCTCCCGGAGGGTGACCCTGTACACATCCTGGCTGAACACTGGCGGGTTATCATTGACGTCTGTGACTTGGATTCGGATCTGGGCGGTGCCAATTCGCGGAGGATCCCCCCCATCCACAGCCGTGAGGACCAGTTGGTGAAAATTCTGCTCTTCTCTGTCCAGAAAACGTTTTAAAATTAACTCAGGATATTTACGACCATCTGGGGTCTCTTTCTCTGTGACTTCAAAGTATTCATTGTCAGTGAGATAGTACTTTTGCAGCGAATTAGAACCAGCATCTAAATCGAGGGCTGGATCCAATGGAAATGCTTTACCTGGTCTGGTGGACTCCCCGATGTTTAAATCAACCTCACTCTGCTTGAATAGAGGAGCGTTGTCATTTACATCCTGGAGAGTCACAGCTACGTGGAAAATATTTAATGGCTGCTCAGCGACAATATCGAATTCCAGAACACACACAGGCTGCTTCCCACAAACCTGCTCTCTGTCTATTCTGCCACTCACAAGTAAGTCCCCGCTGTCTGGGTTTACAGTAAAATAGTCCTTCTCTGCGCTGACCCTCAGCTTCCGGGTGGGCAGATCCTGGATACCCAGCCCCAGATCCTTGGCGAGGCTTCCTACCATCGAGTTCCTGGCCAGCTCCTCCGGAATGGAGTAGCGGATCTGATCCGGGAGAGCTCCGTGGAACAAAGGCAGCAGGAAGGGCGACAGTACCTGCAGCCACCGGGCCGGGCCGCTCCCAGAGCCCCTCCTCATCCTCTTGGCTCGCGCTGCTGCTGTGCTCCTTTGCCGGGGTGGGCAAGCCCTCCCTTAGTGGCCAGCTTGGACCACTTTTCTTGCTGTGGCTTGTTGTAGCCAGACATGTACTGGGCTTCTCTTCTACGTTTGGTTTGCGCAGGAAATTACTCTCCCAGTCTCCCAAACGCTCCTGGGAAATGGTCTCTCTCTTCTTTTGACCTACAGCGACGCCCAGAGGTCTTCTCAGAAATTGCACCGAGGTCTAGCAAATGTTTGCAAAGTTTTTGGTTCGCTTTAAAATTTATGTTTGTTTTAAAATAGATTTATTAAACTTGTTACAGATTAAGAAGCTACGTATTAAATAGGTTCTTATTATCATCTGTGAATCATGTAGCACTTTTCTTTCAAGTGGAATGAGTTCTAGGGTTTTTTTTTTTGTTCATTTGTTTTATTTAATTTTTAATTTTTGGTATGTTTTGGATAGTGCAGCCGACCTTGAAATAAGTGTCCCCTTCCCTTGTTTTACTCAGACAAAAGCATTCTCATGTAGTAGTCCACTAGATGGATAAGCAGTAACGTATCTAATGGGAAACCGTATTTTCTTAAAGCAAGCCCAGTACTTATTTATGCAAAGCACTTTTCCGTTATAACTTGTGACAGCAGTTATTATTCACTGCTGTGTGGATCACTGACATACATCACTCGGGCAGAATGTATTCTGAGTGCCAGCATCTGAGTGTGTTTTACTCAAGTTTAGGCCAGCTGAACAGCTCTGAGTTATATCTTATCACAACGGCGTTTGGAGTAATGTGTCCTCAGACAGACCCTCCCAGTATTCATTTGTTATCTCTTGTGTGGCAGGCGATCAAGTCTCTCACTCTCACCTACTGTGTATTGCACGTGGCTTCACACTAATGCAAAGCTACGTAGAATCAGCTCTCATCTCACTGTCTTGCCACAATCCCCAGGTAAAGAAACTCCATGAATTTGCGTATAGATTTTTATTAATTCTGGATTAACTCACAGAACTATATGGAAGCTTATGAAGTAAAAGTATTGCATATCTCTGATACACAAAATTCTTTATGCCACATTAGGGTGTACTTTGTCTCATCCCAGGTCACATAGCGGTAAACCTTTCAAGAATAATTTGTAGGGATTCTGACAGATGGGAACAAGGTCAACTAAGTACAAAGAATAATATCAGTCCAGAATCCAAGTCATGCAGCCATTATAAGAGGCTTACCTGATGAAAACCAGAAAGATTTAAGCAAATTATGTTTTGCTGGGACTCAATGGTGATGTCATAAATTTAGAAATCATGAAAATTACTCTTATAAGTTATATGAATGAAATAACCAATAATAACCAAGTTAATAACCAAGTTGTATCAAGGGAAACAGATTCTCTGGTACACTTCGTATCAGCAACAACAAAATGTTTGAGCTGGGGATAGTCACACACACCTGTAATTCCAGCACTTTAAAGAGGAGTGTGAATTGTAGGCCATCTTGGGTAGGCTACATAGAGAATTTAAAGGACAGCCTAAGCTAGACAGTCAGACTTGCACAAAATTTATTTGAAATTTATCAGTTCAGAAAGAAGTTAATGTTATAGCTAAAAGTTAAATCTTTTTCTCATTACATATACATTGTCATTGTGTAATTATAATGGAAAAAAAAACCTTTCAAGGGAGAAATAACCCCCAAGCAAAGAATAGTGTAATGTAACAAAGGGAAACAACAACAATTTACTTTACCAGTTGGGGCTGGTAAAATGGCTCAGTGTCTAAGAACACGGGCCACCACACCTGTCAGCCTGAATTTGATCCCTTGGATCCATAGATTCATATAGTGGAAGAAGAGAACAAATTCCCCCAAAGTTGTTCCCCCAAACACACACACACACACACACACACACACACACAC